CACGCCGCCACGGCCGCCACGCCCACGGACCGCGGGGCCGCGCGCTGCCAGAAACCCGCTCGGCCGCGGCGCTTTCCGCCGAGGCTCGCAGAGGAGCCGCGCCGCCGAGCGGCGCCACAGATCGTGGCGAGCCGCCGCTCCTCGGGCCGCGGCTCGGGCTGCGGCTGCGGTGCCACCTGGGGCTGCGGCTGCGGCTCGGGCCGCGGCTCGGGCCGAAGGTCGGGCCGCGGCTCGGGCTGCAGCCCGGGGCGCCGGCGGCCTCAGGAGGCCGCGCCGCGGCCACCGCGGCCGCGGGCTGCCGCGGCCGGTCTCGGGCGTTGGCCGCAGCAGCTGCGCCAGCGCGGCGCTCGAGGGCCGAAGGCCCTCCCTGCGCGCAGCGAGATAGCGCAGGCGCCCGAGGGCAGGAGCAGCACGGGCGGCCGCCAGGAGACGAGCGGTGCTCCATGATCAATTCGATGTGGGGCGTCGGGTATTCTCCTTATCCTCCGGGACGACCAAGCGCGAGGGGAACTTTTCACAAAAGCCGTTTTCTGCCGCTGGCAAATACTTTTGAGCGAACGGTTCAAGAACACCACTGGCGACGACGACGACGACGACGACGACGACGACGACGACGACGACGACGACGACCACGAAGACGACCAGTGCCAGAACCGAACTTATGATTCATTGTCCAGAGCGCTGCTGCGCGACGGCAAACTTTCACGCGTTTTGGATTGCCCCGCTATCTGGGTTTGGGGCTCCAGAAAATTCTCAATACGTTTGCTGTGAAGCGTTCCAGAAGCCTCCTCCCAGAGCTTCCAGAGCTCCGTTGCTTGGGCGGCGTGAGGAAGAGCTGGCCGCCGTCGGCGCTTTTTAGAATCCGTGGCAGATGCTCAAAATGCGATGCCAAGCACAACGCCCACAGATCATTCGCGCCCGTCTCGCCGCCAGGTCAGGATATTCCACGTCGTTACAGCTATCTCTGAGCCCCTTCTCGATCTGGTGGGGCCCCATAAGATCGAGGCCGCTCAGATGATGCCAGGGCCTGGCCACTCGAGCTCGAGTGCGCGAGGACGTGGCAACAGCGAAGGCCCCGGCTGCACGGCCACCTCTTCGCTCATGCGGGGTACGTCGGGCGTGGCGTGGTACCGGATGTCGTCAGATGCTGGGACCTTTGAAGGGGCCCTTGGACACACAAATAAATACACACAAATAAACAGATTCCCCATATTTTCTCATATTTTCTGGGTTTTTGTCTCCCCCCCCTCTTCCCATATTTTCCCGTGTTTTCTGGGGGATCGACGATTCATTGTGTCTGTGTGTGTGTGTGTGTTTTTTCCCTCCTGGACCTTCCTCGTCAGCAGAGGCCCCGTGGGCACACGCCTGCGTCGCCACGGTGGATCTTCACACGGTCCACTGCGCCCTCTGTGGTCCGTGCCCAGTGGGGCTCAGGCCTCGAGCAGCCTCGAGCACGTGCGTCTGCTTGCACGCGACGGTGGCGCGCCGCTTCCACGTGCCACTCTTGATGACGAACTGCTCCCCAGCCTGGTCGTCTGCCTCCAAGCTGTCGCGGGCCAAGCTCGCGTCGCGCCCGTTCTGGCACCCGTACCTTCTCTTCGGACTGCATGATGGCGTAGAGCAGCAACAGGGGCAGGAGCACGTAGTAGCGGTCGGCATACATGCCACCTGGGTGGCGTTCGGCCTCATCCTCTGCTGGCCGTTTCTGGGTGGTGCCGAAGACATACAGCGCCATCGCGGCGCGCCAATCTGCCTTGCCCTGCGCAAGACTGGCTGGAAAGAATCGCCATGACTGTCCCGAGCCAGTATCCTATGGAGCGGAGCGTTGCCGCATTAGCCTCTAAATTTCCCGCCGATGGCCCCGGAAAACGCAGAGGGCACAGGGCAGAGGAGGTGGTGAGCAGACCGCAGGTATGTGGCGGGGCGCGTCTGGTCAGGAAGATTGGCATGTGCTGCGGCGCTGCTGCATGGCTTCTGCGCCTGCAAGCTGATGGCACCCTGGCGCTCCCGCGTCGGCGGTCGCTGGGGTTCGCCTCGCTGCCTGAACCTGGGGCGCGAGCGCACCTCGCTCTCGGCGGCGGTGCTCGGCGACTGCGGCGAGCGGGGCGTCCAGCATGCCACAACGGATCGCATCGCGAGCTTCTCGCACGAGGCCCGCGACAAGTGGCGTTTGGTGTGCCCGCACCCGGCTGTGGCCCCGGTCACGACCTCGCCGATGTAGCAGTAAAACCGGCGGAGGTGTCACGAGCGCTGGACATATCGGTAGCCGCGCCCTCGCGGTCTGGATTCTGGGGTCCGCGAAAAAAGCACCCCGTATCCGAGGGGTCGCAGCCCATGAAGCACGCGAGGCCGCCAGATACGGTTTTCTCCCGCGAGACGTGGTTAGCCGTTAGCCTCCACCATGTCCATCTCCGACACACTCTGGCCCAACAAAGCGCCCACAAGGCTGGGGGCAAGAATGCATGTCGGGGATGTCCCAACTCGTGTGCGACAGACAACCGGGCTCCCATGGTCGACGCACCTGCAGGCGTTGCTCTTACAGCGCTGGCTCCCTATGAGCATGATGGTCTCCATGTGCGTCGCGGGCACCATCACGTGAAATGGGTGGCCTGGCGATGCCCCCTGACTATGCGGCGTGCCGCCATCCAGAGCGTCTACGTGGTAGGATCACTCCGCGGGGCCGGATAGGCGGGGTCTGCGTGCATTGCCGCATCCCGTGCCATGAGCGTTTCCCCCAGCCCCACAGGATTCTGGGAGCCC